TGTAGCGCTTGAAAATATATATATATATATATATATATATATATGTGTGTGTGTGTGTGTGTGTGTGTGTGTATTTTAAAAATTTATCCTGTAGAAAAAACACTATTTATTAATGTAAAAGACAACAGGAAAACAGTAATATTAGCAGACGCGTTTCGTCCAATATGGACTTTTTCAAGGCAAAAAAAAGAAATGAATTAATTAAAACAAAGTAACTAATAATAAAAAAACAAAACAGTTACTAAGGACATTTTGTTTTTATTATTATTAGTTACTTTGTTTAATAAATTCATTCGTTTTTTGCCTTGAAAATGTCCACATTGGACGAAACGCGTCGGCCAATATTACAGTTTTCCTATTGTCTTTTATATTTATACATATAAATATAATATATATAGCAAAAATCAGAGAATATTTTTTTAGATTTCGAGAGTTTGGGGGAGAATTTTTGGGGCGATGATAATGAGTTTACGGATACAAGTCCTAGTAATTAACCCGTAGCTGGGGGAGAAGATGTTGATTCATAGGAACATATAGATTTAAGTGAATACAGCTAATAAGACTGGAATTGAAACTCGGCTGTCCAAGTTGCAATTCTTGTCGATGAGACCTAATAGCCAATCAAGTAATACGCTTAGATTCATGTGTACGTAGCTGAGAAATGATGACATCGGAAGGTCGTTGATGAAGATAGGAAATAGAATAGAGCCCTTGACGAGACCCGGTTTGATACGAAATAATCTAGAGTACAAGATTAATTACCCGCTTTGTTAAGAAAGATTGGATTAAGTTGAATATGTTTCCAGAGACACTATAAACTCTTGAGTTTGCTAAATGATCGCAGTGGAAGAGAAGCAAGAAACCAGAAGAGAGTTTCACAGACGAGAAGTGAGAGAAAAGAAACTATTGGAGTGGAAATTCCGGTTATATCTAGCTTCTTCAGGAGTAAAATGATGAGACCTACTTGCCAATCAAGTAGCACAATTAAATTGTTGCGGCCATGACGCCAGGCAGGAAATATCATTAGAACAATTGCCAGTAAACTATTTATAGAAAAGAACGAGGAAATTCACGTCCCGGTCGTGTGAAACTGACTGAAGTCGAGATGCCAGACGAGGACCGATAACATTGCAGACACACTGGATTCGAACGAGAACTGGAATCAGGGAGACTGAAGATGTGATTGACGTTGTAATTTGATTTTGGAAGGATGTAGGTAGCAGGTTATCAAATATTTCTGTATTGTAATGACCATTGTACCACTCTAACTGACCGTTTGGTAATTTACGAATTCAGCGCGAATTGCTTCTAATTTCATTATTTATACTATTTATATTCGGATTATGGCCCTGATCTCTGTTGCTTTTATCACAAGGTTTCGGCCGTTCCTCAGGTGTACCGGGTGTAACAGCAAAATTGTCCAAATCGTGTAAAAATAAAATTGTACATTGGTTAGATTAAGTTTCAACCGTTGTAGCTTAGAAATGATTAAAGCTATCTTACTAAAACTTCCCGAGATTCTTATAACACTATGAGACTCTACATTGGCCAATAAGAATGTAGAATTACTTTCCAACCTTAACGCAAGTATCGTGATGAAATCGAGCATAAACGAAAATGACATGTTCATCATAGCTAAGGATCGGAAGCTCATGAAGGATTGAAATAAAGTTCAAATATATATTTATTATTCCAGGATCATTATCCAACTTATTCAAGATGATATTTGCCCTCTCTAACGATCTAACTTTCTGTCCTTTAGTAACAAGCTGCCTCACACGTTTCACGTACGATTTCACTTTCAAGTCTTTTTCCATTGCTCTTTGGATAGTCATAGCTAAAACTCCTCTCTCATGTTGCAAACGTATTATGGTTGAGTCGGATCTTTTCAAATTGATCTCTTTAGCTCTAAGTTGAAATGACGATCGCACTTCTTGCTGTGATCTCCTGATCCAGGCTTCCTGTCTACTATTTTTTAAACTTATTCACCGTTCTCTTGATGGTTCTTGAATGGACTTAGAAGATGGGAGCCGGGGTATGAATTTTGGTACCATTTTTGAAGTCCTGAAGGATCTTTTCCCTCTAACAATTGCTCATATGGAAAGAGAGTGGGTCTGACTCAAAACGATTTTAAACAGTTCTCTTTCTAGCTGAATACCCAAATAGTTTTTTCAGTGATTCTTACGACATATTGTGCCAAGATGGCTTATCTGAAAACCTTGAAAAAAGAAACTAAATTAGTTTTTTTTTTATGTTTTTTTTTATTTTTAATATATTAGACATTTTGTGGGATGGACAGTTATGCTGTTACACGATTTGGACAATTTTGCTGTTACACCCGGTATATATATATATGATAAACCACTCCATATACGCACATCTTCCAACCATCCGCCTTCTATAATCAAACAGATACCAAAATCGATTAACCGCAGGCTTTCCGACAATTCCTCCAATGAATCCATATTTAACAGAGCTAAGAAATACTACGAAACAGCCCTAAAAGATAGTGGATTCACAGCAACACTTACATACTCACCACAGAACACACAAAAAATGGCCAACAGGAAAAGAAATATCATATGGTTCAACCCAACGTACAGCAAAATCGTTGGGTTGAAATATTTGATACATGATTTGGACAATTTTGCTGCTACTTCCGGTGTATCAATCTGGCATCCTTCAGGGAAATTTGAACTGAAAGCTTTATTTAATGTCGTTCCTCTACTCAAGTTTTATTTCGTTCAGTTATTGTTCGCCAGTTTCCGACCCAGGGATTGAACTTACAATCACTATCTTCAACACTTTAATCTACTTATTATGTTGCAACTGCTGCCTTTTCTGGCTGTCATGCTTTTACTGATGCTGAAGCGTTGCGAGAACAACAAAGAAACAACAAAGAAAGGGACAATCGTCCAAATATAAATGCAGTAAATAATGATAAGTCCTCTTCCCAGAAATTTAAGACAGAAATTTAAACCATTTCTTAAATATTTAATAACAAGTGATGAAAACTGTTATTTTTTTTTTTCGGGGGTGGTTTGGGTGCCTGGGGATTACCGTCTGCCTTCAACCATTCTCCTGGAGTCACTTGTAGTCTGGACTGTCGTTTGTCTTTTGTTCTTGTATTTTAAAGTGTTATGCGACACTTTTCCGGATACATTTTAAATCTGCTGCCTTCGCTTGCGTGTTTTCGTAAGTTTGTCTCCCGATCTCAGTTCTGAAAAAGGGAAAATGCCCAAGGTACAAGTTACGAGTTGGAGATATACACATCAAGCAGGTGCAGAAATCCGTATATCTGGAAGCGTTTTAAAAGATGATGAAAAATGCGACAACGAGATCCGAAAATGCGTTGAACTGGCACAGGAAGCATTTCAAAAGCTACGTAAAGAGCTGAGAAAAAGAAAGATTTCGTTAGAAACAAAGAAAAGAGTATTGGATAGCCTCTTATATGGCAGTGAAAGTTGGTTTAGTTTGGTTTGTTTTACGGCATATCAACTCAATGGATTATTTAATGCCGACAAGATTTTTATTGCTGCTTTAGTTTGTTTTGTTTTACGGCATATCAATTCAATGGATTATTTAATGCCGACAAGATTTTTTATTGCTGGTAATATTTTTTCAAAAATATATATTGCTGGTAATATTTCTAACAGGAGTTCGATCCTCATTATGGCTTTCATTTCTGGGTCCTTGTTCCTTCTTTGGGATTAATTAAAATCTTGTATCAGTGGACACGATCTAAATAATATAAGATACGCAGAGTTAGTGTGTTAGATCAATTACCAGTGAGTAGGGAGTTCGATCCTTGTTGGAGGCGCCACAATTTTGGCCTTGTGCCACAACGCAGATGAGACAGTGTTGATAGCAGACACGGAAAGGAGACTACAAAACCTTCTGCAGAATGTAGCGAAAGAGGTTTGGTCTGTTTTGTTTTACGGTATATCAACCTCAATGGCTTATTTAATTCCGACAACTTTTTTTTTTTCTGGTAATATTTTTGTTTTATCAAAAATCTATTTCTGTTAATATTTTTTTTCCTCAAAAATGTTTAGCTGGTAATATTATTTTTTCAAAAACCTATAGCTGGTAATTTCTTTTCTTCGAAAATGTATTGCTGGTAATATATTTTTCATCAAAAACGTATTTCTGGTAATATTTTTTTTTCAAATTTTTATTGCTGGTAATAATTTTTCTCAAAAAATTTATTGCTGGAATTAAAGCCTATTTTTACATTTTCATAGTGCTTTTACCCCAGTTTGAGGGTTAACTATTTGCCTATATTTGGGAGCCCAACTAAGGTTTATTACTTACACTACTTATATTTGGAATATTTTCCTCATCTTTATTGTTTTTATCGCAACGTTTCGGCCTTTATGCCCGCCTGCCTTCTTCAGGTGGATATCAAGCTGAGTAACCTACAGGGAATTCCGAACTGAACACTTTATTAAATCTTCGGGCGTAAGAGTATTCTCGGTCCACTTCTCATGTCTACGAATATTGTCTAGTTCCTATTTTTATTTCGTATTGTTCAGTTATAGCAGTGTCCTGGGTATGACGATAAACTACATCCGGCATCAAGGCATCTGATCGGGAGATTGAATGTTTTGTGGTGCGTGGAACCACCTCTTAATTGCTGTTGGTTCCAGATTCACGCTGACCTGCGGGTGGTAGCACCTGATTGGATCCCTGCTGATACCATTTTGTTTACTTCCAATATATCAAATCAAGAAACCGGAAGTCATCATAAGAAAGAAAGCAAAAATTTAAAAAACACATAACCTTGCATCACTTTATGAGACTGTGGGAAAATTTGCTGTGATTAGGTCAATTGGAGAAGACAAGCTCACCTATCTCCCCGGGCCGTATCCTTTCCATGTTTATTGAACAGGAGTAGATGATTATCTCTTGTTACCTGTTTAGGAAATAGTTTATTGCTTCCTTTCTTCCATTACCTTATGATTTAAATGTCTACTGATCAGTAGCTGTGACTTTTCATTATGACCAGGAAATCGAAGTATTTGGGGAACGTGGAATCACTTCTTAGCTGCTGTACATTTTATCATCTAATATATATCTAAAAAACTTACCTTTACTCTGAAAGTAGAAAATTATGTACAAAATATAGGACACATGGCACAGTGGATAAAGGCGTTGGGTAGATCCCATGACAGGACCCAAAGAGTGTGAGTTCAATACCCGGTTAAGGTAGTGGAGAACTTTCCGAGGGGAATTAACAGGAGATAAATGACTACAGACATCCATTAAACATGTTGCGCGGAACTAGAACAGTCTACCTCAGTGAGTGAAATAAAGGGTTCAGTTCGACATTCCAACCACCTGAAGAAGACCGGATCGTACAACGTCCGAAACGTTGTAATAAATATGGCGAAAAAGATGAGGACAATAGTCCGAATAATATAAATACTGAAAATATATGTAGTTGAAAACATAAAATTACATTAAAAAATATTTAGATTTCGGCATTAAATAACCCATAGAGATGTTGATATGCCGCTAAATAAAATCATCCAACATGGCTTGTCTCATTCCACTCACTGCAAGTACACACTGCCCAACCCAGGGATTGAATCAAATTCACAAACCAACGATTTAACCCACTAGACATTGTAGAACAATATGCCTGGCTAAACTTAGAGCCTTAAACCTAACCTTGACTGCTGATTAGGCTGCAACTGCTGGTGTTGACTGTCATGTTTTGATTGATGTGCTGCATACGCTGTTGCTGTTGAAGAGTTTCTGTCATTTTTACAACTATTCTTCTGATTTTACTTGATAAAGACGTATAAAACTTTTGTTAACTATTTCAACATGGCGATATTACTTTCCGAACAGCCTTGCTCTTTGAGATGAGTATCGATTCTTTTAAGATACGATTTGTGACTGGCAAATCGCTAGAGATCAAGTTATAACTGATCGAACGAAGAAAGAGCAACAAATTGGGATTAAGCCAAAAGATAATCTCTAAGAATCCACTTCTGATAGCAAAGAATAATTTTATTTCACCTGAGAACAATTTGGTTTAAAGCTCTTTCACTACAAACCAAAAACAAATGATGTAACAATATAAAAAGGGTAAAATTATATTAAATAAATTATAATTTATTATTGATCGATTATTTTTTACGGTTCACCAACTCAGAGGTTATTTAAAGCCAGAAAATATGTTTTGGAGATAATAATGATTTAGTTATAAAAGTCATCAACAGATAAGTGGGAAGAGAAGAGGGGAATTCACACGTTTCCGAAGAGGATTTGCGAAGGGGAATATAACGAACCCAACTGGAATTGGAACTCGACACTCCCATTAACAATTCTGAGCCATTATCCATTACAACATCTGCACATCGAAGCTTACAGCACAGGATATTGCCAAAGGTTCACTCATCTAGGTAATTACAAGGTTGGACGTTGCTTAACATCCGTGATCGTACAGGAACCAATGTTTTAATGTGTTGGGACCGTAAGCCAGATTATAATTTATTCATTATTTTTTTAAGTAATTAAACTTCTCTACAGAAGGATGCTGAGAATGCCATGGACTGAAGATTTGAGAAAATACGCAGTTTTAAAGAAAATAGATATTTAGAATCTGAAAAAGACATTTGAAATTTCTAGGGCAGATCAAGATCAAAAGGAAAGAGGGTTTGGAAAATTTGACACTCACAGGGCATAATAAAGGCAAAGCAGCACATAATCTACCTAACGAACTTGCGCAGGGATTAGGAGATTAAAGACATTAGTTAATTGTAAAATTAAATTCGGGGCTTTTAGCTTCCATTTTTGAAACATGGTTAGAACTGTGTAGCGGAAAAAACATATTTTAAATCAATTAATTTAATTAATATATATATATATATATATATATATATATATATAATTCTTTTTTTTATTTTCTGTTGATTCATTCTTGGATTTTTCATCATCGCAACGTTCTCCTTGCAGATGTTTAGGCTGATTTTCAGGCGGAATTATTTCCAGGAACTTTTTCTCAAAGAACCATTAATGTCATCAGTCATCGTAACAAGGTGTATGATAAATTTTATGTTAGGTGTTGCTTCAGTTTTGATAATATTCCTGAGGCTCTAACGATGGTTGATTTTAAACTGGTATCTACAACCGACTCACATAGATCTCTGGCTTATTTCAGTCCTCAAAATAATTTTTCTCTTTTCATCTTCTTCTTCTCCTCCTCCATGTTTTTTTTCTTTATCACTTTCCTTTCTATTATTATTTTCTCTTTTTCTTCCCTTTTCTTACATTTCTCCTTTCCTTCTTTCTTTGTTTCTTTCCTTCCCCTCTTTCTCCTCCTCCTTTTTTCTTTATCACTTTCATTATAATTTCTTCTCCTTCCTCAACTTACCTCTTCCCATTCAACCTTTTTTCATCTCCACCTTCCTTTTCTTTTTTCTTTCTTTCTTTCTTTTTTTTCTTTCTTCTTCTTTTTTTTTTTCTTTTTTTCTTCTGTTTTTATTTCCG